GTCCTGGTAACGCACTTACCGTGTAAATTCCGCAATTCGTCCCTCCTTGGCAGCCGCTTCCCGAGCGGGCGGGGGGGCAAAGATGCTCGAAGGTTCCCAATGCTATCAACAAAGCACCCCACGGCCAGTTGCCAGCAATGACCGAGCGCAAAGTCCCCACAGTATCGAGGCACCAATATACCATGACGTGAGTACCGGTACCTCCTCAATATTCGTCAGCACTCGGTCGCTCCGTATTTTGTAAGGGCACAAGCTATTTTGTCATTAAGATATATGGGCTGGTATTTGTCCGGTCTGACCGATTCGATCTGGGCTCCGGTCATCGGTCCACAGCTTTGCGATATATCCTGGATTGCATATGTCATGTTGGACGGATATGCACGGTTAACTTAGCGATACGGTACAAATTGTGAGTTCTCCGTCTCTTGCCTCTATGTACCCCTTCTACCTTTCGGGAAACGGGATAAATGCAGAGTGCTTTGTGGGGTGCGTGGGGTCGACATTTGTCACGATCCTAATTCAAGGTCTCTTGTGCTCGTGCGGAGTATATATCGTGGCAGTTTCGAGGTCACGTTGGTGATTGCGGGGATCGAGGCCGGGCACACCGCGGGGGGGGACAATGGTCGGCTCATCTGGCAAAGCCTGTTTCCTTTCTTTCGATTGATTGACTGATTGGTTTCTTGACTGGTTGTGGTACCCTGTGACGATAGGGCGGGTTGTGATATTTGGGTAAACTGTGACCCCTCTTTTCTGGATAGGCCGAAAACCCTTGAAATCCACTATCCTCGGGAGCTTTGTAATCTCCACACTCCGAGACAGAAGTCCCGGAGGGGGGGGTTAGCACCTCCTTGACATGGCACGAGTACCGGTATAAGATCAGCCCACTGGATGTGTTGCATCTCATTAACCGGTATTCACAATTCTCCTAACCCATCAAACTAAACCTATCGTGGGCCGACGGGCTGATTTCCGCCGAAAAACTGATAGTGGATTATGGGTTTTTACGGTAGTCAATACTACCGGTACTGTCGCGCGAGTTCGAGCTAGGGTTTTTTTAGCATAAGACGTTAAGGTTTCACTAGGATAGCTATCATAGCAGTGATGGTAATTTCAGAGCGAGTAGTTTATACCCATGCTTTGGTTTGCAGATTTAGACAGCAGAGATCGAGACCTGCTTATCTCTGCCATCGGCGTACTAGTTCTGTACATGGAGTAGTACAAGTACTCGCAGTATTAAATATGATATTCCAACTCCCAAGAAGGGGGTACTTGTACCGGTACTTCAAGAGTAATGCTTAGACCATCCCAAAAAGTGAGAAATCCTGGTCAACCAGCTTAACGAGCTAACCAACCAAATCCTTTAGCGACTCTGCCACTTGTACGTAAAGATTTCTTGAAAACTGCCGAGGGAACCAAATGCCCCCTCCTCAAAAAAAGAGAATCACGAGCTCAAAAATAAATGGGAGAGTAGAGGGAAGCCTCCTTTATCTGCCGTTGCGTTCCTTGGGGCTTTTTTTTCTTTCCTTTTTCCCTTTTTTCCTCCCCCCCTTTCCCGCTTCTACCAAGAAACGTTTTCCCCTTGGCCGCCGTTGCCAGCGTTGGGTCCCCAACATATTGTATTTCGGCAGTTTTCTTCCGATTCCCTCCCTCTCGCTCCAAATGCGTACCACGTTTCCGGAAATATAATATTGGTTTGCTTGTCATATATGATCGATGGAGAACCCGAAATGTCGGGTGAAGCCGGCCGTGGCCCGAATGCGCGATGACGGTACAAGTAGACTAGGGGTACAGTACTCGAATACTCAAGTACACTACATGCCTTCCTGCTATGGTTCTGCTTCTCCCTCTATTTCGTGTGATGTTGATTAGGTCTGTCGTATAATTTCTCTCTCTCTATAGTGCTTGTGTTTCATGCCTCATATCCGTGTGATTTGGGGCGAGTTAATTGAGCCGGGGCTCGAATGAACCATTGTGGTCGCTACCCCGCTGTTTACACCGGAATGGCGAACAAAGTGAACGAAGAAGAGGGGCACAAGGGAGGGGTGGAGGTGGGAGAGGGGGATAAAGGTGAGGTGCTAATGCAGTATTGGAGTACCGGTATGATACTGTACTGTACTTGCAGTGCACAATACGGTACCGAACCGCTATCGGCCAGCTTAGCTTGTACTGTATGGCGCGATGCGGCGCTCCTGGCTGTCAGGGGATAACATTTTCTTCTCCTTCTTCTCCTTCTTCTTTATTTTTTTTATTTTATCTTATTTATTTATACCCTTTTCCTCTTTCCTTTCATTGCCATGGATGGGCGGACGGTGGGGGAAGGCGTGGGCGTATAATACCTGTAATGGCACCTGGGTTGCGAGATAACGTGTTGCAGACGGATATCTGTCCTTCATGCTCTTTTGTGGTACTTTCTCTCCCTTGCATTTTTTTTCCTTCCATATTCGTCAATCTCTCAAACCCCCACCATCAGTAACCATTGGCGCCACCACACCACCACCACCCAGACACATTACCAACTACCACCATCAACCATGCACTTGACTATACTGAGTACACCTGCCATCGATTCCCGAGAGCCTCTGGTCGCACGAATCGGGTGCAAGACATCACTATTGTTGCAAGCTGGCTGGGCTAGCTGAGGTACGAGTATCGTACTCTACCGCATGTGTTCAATGGCCGCGCCTTCCCCCCTCTCATCTGCTTCCTTCCTTTTCACTTGTATTTTGCCCCCCCCCCCATTTGGGCCTCTAAGTTCTTGGGCTGGTGGCATTGCGCGGGTGATGATACGAATTGTGCTTGTGCGGCTGGTCTTAATTGAGATATGAGGTACCTGTATGAGATGGAGGGATGAGTGGAAGAATGGGGAGGAGATGGGACATAGAAGGGAATACGCACTCATACGGCGGATGAGACGGGGAGAGGGTGTTTGTTTTTTTGTTAGTGGCGAAACCTTCCACATGGGAGGAAGTCTCACCCTTTCTCTCTTCCTTTTCTGTCAGCATCTGATGCTCCACCACCTATCAAATTCACATCTTTACCAAAAATCCACGCCTACGTTTCGACTTTTTTTTTTGCCCTTTAATATCCCTGGGGTCCTTGTGCAAGCCAGGAGAAAAAAAGAAAGTCTTCCCTCGACTAGAAAGATAGTCTAAGAAAAGAAAAACAAGTGAGTAGAGGCAGAAGGGTGAGGAAAAAAGGAATCAGTAAGAAAAGCCACACAGCACACATGGCACACTTAAACGCCCACACTCACTCAAACTCAACCCACACACACCCTTCTGGTAAACCTTGTCTTCACGCGAACTCTTTGCCGCGAAATTCTTATGGAACCCTCAATTGGAGCCGGATACAAGAGAAAAACAAGAGGGAGAGTTGCTGGGGAAGGGATTGCCGCAAGAGAATTCCCTTGTTTGCCGCGGTCGAATTGATTACACCGTCCGGGCACCAGCTAGCCAGCCAGCGCCCTGTTTCTACGAGTACGAGCATGGTACAGTACATGACTTACGTCCCAGCAGTGTATCTCCAGGCACGCATGTCAAATAGTTAACCCTTCCACTTACAGTACATCTCAACCCATTGCGTAATGTTTCCTCTGGAAGGAAAGGCCCCCACAGGGCTGTCCTGATTATTCTCTTTACTTGTGTTCATTCTGGTCTCCTTTCGGTGCGTGATATCTGGAGGGGGTATTTTTTTTCTCTTCTCTTCTATTTTCTTTTGCTCCTTACACTTTTCGAGCACTGTCTATCAAACCAATCGCCCCTTTGCATGTCGCGCCTCGAAGGGTTAATATAGAACAATTGCTTATGCTATGATGCCTGCGCGTCACGCTGCTTCGGCCATCATGATTGCTTGCGCATCTCGACATATCAAGTCTCAATGAGTCTGTTATCGTCACCTGATGGCTGCAGAGCCGTACCTCCCATCCCCTCCAAACCCCCCTCCCTCTTACACCCATCCTTCACAATCCCCAATCCTTACTCTCGTTCTCAGTCACTATTATCCATTCCGCCTTCCCACCTCCCTCAATATCCTACCACTCTCTGCCCCCCCCCTCTTCTCTCTGCTCCCCTTCCCTTCCCACCTTTTGCTTTAGTTTCACGACTAACAAGGTTGAGGAAATAGCGGTTTGGCTGGCTATTTGGGCACGAATACCCCCGTATCGTGCCAACGCTCTTCTCGCCCCCCCTAACTCCTACTGCACCCTTACAGCCTTGTAGCTGTGGCTCCCGCTTGTCGTGCCTTGCGGGCTTGACAAATACCAGCATTAGAGTCAATCCTTTGTGCTCAGTTTTCACCGGTACATCTGGATAATCAGCACCAGTAGAGTGTGAACAGAGTGAGATAGCGGTAGAGTAAGGGGGGGTACATTTTGTCCCTTCCGGCGCCGTGAGAAACCTTTAACAGGGTGGGCTAGCCAGCCCTTCTCAAGGAAAACCGTTGCTAAGGACTCATATCATACGCTGTCAAGACATCTATATAAGCTTCAATTGGTACTGGTATTTTGTCCCCTCCAATTGCTACTCCCTTTTTTGATTTTTATAAAACGATGGGTTGGGTGAGGGCTCCAACAAGATACCGTCAACAAAGCATCTACTAGTTTGGCACTGACCATCTTTAGTGAACTGGGGATCTTGTCAGTGTAGCACTACCATCCGATACGGGCTTCATTTCGCTGAACCTCTGACACAATTGCTCTACCATTGCTCGCATATTTGCCTCGACTGCCTAGCCCATATTCTCCACCCTTGTTAGATTTTCAGCAAGCCCTTGCTTGAGGTCCCAAACTAGCTCCACTACCCACTTGTCCTATCAGAGTTTCTCGGGGGATTCCATCAGACTCTATCCCGAACAAAAGTTGCCCGAGGAATACGTTCCTTAGGAAGCTGCCCAACCCACGCCAACGGTCTCTTCTTCCCCCCTCACGGGCCTCACCCACTGAGCACCCTATAGCAAAGCCACTCCCACTACCGACCCATTTACAGCTCTATCCCGGGTTTGCAATGGATAACGGTAGATCTAATTCAGACTTTTTCCGCCACCTCCGGGATGGGAGAAATAATCTGCCGTTTGCACAGCATCTGTCGTGTTTACCAAATACAGAAGCTATATCCTCGCTGCCAATCACGCCTCCTACCACCTACGCTGACCCAGAGGACGAAGAGGTTCTCTCTACAGCTGTGCGTGTACTTTCCACCGAGGCCATGGCATTATCATGTCTCTCGCAGTTATACGCAACTAACCCGGTAGCCCGGGATGGGTTTGTAAGAGCCGTGGAAGCAATCTCTACAGCGGTTGTCAAGGGGGGAAAGGTCATCATCATCGGTGTGGGAAAGAGTGGCAAGATTGGGGAGAAGATGGTTGCAACGATGAATTCCTTGGGATTACTGTCGGTTTTCATGCACCCTATTGAGGCTCTGCATGGCGATCTGGGAATGGTTAAGCCGGTAAGTAAGCATTTAATAACCCCGATTTCCCCCACTTGGAATGCAGGGATGGTTGCTTGTCTCTATTGATTAGTTGTGTTTTGTTATTTCCTTTCTTTCCTTTTTCACCATTCCTCGGCCTTTTCCCTGGGCCTTCCAGCTGTTTTCCTTCTTTGGTTATATGGCTTTTCCTGTTGCTGGGTTTGAAATCAGCCCAGTTTCCCCACTTTTTGCTTTGCTTGGTAACACCGCACTTTGCGCCTGAGCCGACCGGCCCTCACACCCCGTTGGCCGCAGGGCAAGGCTTGCCAACATAGCCGGTCTACTAAATCTCACTGCATATTGTGTGCTAATCGTTATTTTATTCATAGAAAGACGTCCTTCTTCTGATCACCTTTTCCGGAAACACCCCCGAACTGATATCGCTACTGCCGCACCTTCCAGGGCATCTACCACTGATCGCATTGACATCGCATATCTCGTACCACACTTCCCCATTGACACGAGAGCGCAAGAAGGCAATTTTGCTTCCCGCTCCCATACACGAGGCGGAGGAGACTAGCTTTGGCATCTCGGCACCTACTACCTCCACGACTGTCGCGCTGGCGCTTGGAGATGCCCTAGCAGTAGTATCGGCGAGGCATGTGTACACCGGCGATGGAGAGAAGCCCAAAGACGTGTTCAAGAGGAATCACCCAGGTGGAGCCATTGGATTGGGAACCGGAAAAGGTGTGGTGAGAGTGTCGGATCTAGCAGTGCGCCTGGAAGATATTCCGGTGGTGGACGGCATCCTTGAAGATGGTCTACTAGACTCGCCGCCAATCTCATCCACTAGTTCGGAGTCAGACCTAGAGATTACCGAATGGACCGATACCCCGCTTTCGGCGACTCATTCCGTAAGGGTTATTGACTGCCTACTTGCCGGTGTAGGGTCCAAGACCGGCTGGGTACGGGTTTCGAACGATCAGGTCATCCCGCCGGGGCGGCTGAAGTCTATCCGAGGTGATGTTCAAGGGGGCGTGTATGAATTTGAGCCATCCCTTGTGGTCGCTAAATCGGAAATGATACGCGTGTCCGGTCAGGCAAACGCAGAAGATATGAAGAAGTGGGTGATGGCATCGAGGGAGGAAGAGCGCGGGGTATTTCCTGCGGGGGCAGTGCTGGGTGTTTGTGTGGGGGACGCTGGCAAAGGGGAAGAAGTTATTGCGGTGATTGAGGTTGATGAGCTTATGAGGGTTTGAAGGGAGGGAGCACACCGCTTGCTTATTTGGCCTGCTTTCTTTTGTTTGGCATTGCCTATGTCGGGGCTTTCACCAATTAAGCTTGTTTGGGTATTGTTTACTACTCGTCTGGTGTATCAAATTATTATTCAACTCTTTCATTCCTTTTTTCCCCTTACCTCTTAATATTGTTGAAGTGGGTTTCCCGTCCCCTCTTTATAGTTCTCTGGGTGCATATTTTTGCGCGGGTCGTTCTTTTCGTTGGTTTATTCGGGCCCTGTGGGGTCTATTAAATTTTCTTTTTTTTTGTAGTGGGCTTATCCCGGCCAGTGGCGAACGGTATTGGGTTGCGGTACGGTAGGCCGGGTGGGTGGGAAGGGTATGGATGGAACGAAGGGTACCGGTACTGTACGGCACAGCGTCGTAGCCCACATAGCAATGGTGTTGGGAGCATGGCAGATGGAGTATGATATTATGATACAATTTATTCATTTAGGCTCTATTCGGTGTGCTACGATATAAATATATTGCGAAGAAAAGTCGAAAATAGCATAATATTATAATATTTCTAAATATCGCAATATTTTTGCTCGCACCCAACACACCTCCAAATAAAAAGGTTGAGTTTGCAAAATTTATAGCATAAAAGTCGCTTTTATGCCATAAAAATGGTGCACCCAATGGGACTTTACAAGTAGTTTGATCTCTGGTAGCATAGCACGTGGGGGGTGGAGAGTGTTGTAGTGGGTATCGTACCATACACGAGTATGATAGGTGGGCCGGCTTGGATCGTTGGGTGGAGCTACAGTACTCGTAGTGCTGCCAATAGACTCAATTACGTGAAGCACGATGAGAAAGTGAACCTTCTTGTTGCAGTGTGCCCAGATGAAGCACGTGACGGATATAGACTATCTGCTCGAGTACGGTACTGTACCTGCCTCGCTTGCACCAGTACTCGAGTACAGTAGACTATGCATTTTTTTGAACCAGTGACCGAACGCCAAGGCGTCCCGTTGCAATAGCCTCGGCAGGATTCACACTTGACACTGTACAGTACCAGCACTGTACGAGCAGAGTAGACTACAGATACAGTACCGGTGTGAAGCAGGGTTAAATTTTGGTTAGCAGGGTACCGGTATTTTCTGAGATAGATTAGGTTTTGACCCTGTGGAATTTCCTGTTTGGGAGGATGGCTTGGCGGGGAGGATTTCTTGTTTTTTTAGACAAAGCTCAACCGCCCTCGACAACAACGACTACCGTAGGATAGCGGTCCATGCCTATCAAAATCAGGTTCAGCCTCATCCCTTTTGCTTCGTCCGTGTCACACTATTTAGACTACTATCATACCTTTTGTCGAAGATTTGAGATCCGAGTTTTGCAAACCCGGAACTTGGGGAGCCTGAATCAGACGGGGGGGGAATATCTGCTTTATTTACCTATCATACTTATCCGGGATCTCAAACCTGCCTGATAGGCAAGATCCTTTAATACAGAGACTTTTTTGGAGCTGGAGGCCGAAGAGGCAATAGGATTTGGATATGTTACAAGAAAACCGGAGGTGGGCTGTAGGGACAGAGTGAGATTTTCATAGTTTGTCCTATTGTAAGGATATGCGTTGCAGCGGTCTTGCGTCGTTGTTGCCCACCACCACCTGGAGTTGTGTCATATCCACTATCATACATGATTTGACATTATTCGAGTGATAATTTATGAATCTCCCTTACTCCAACCACAATCCCACCCTTGGATAATTTATCATCCCCGTATGGCAGGTGTATCGGGAATACCGACAACCACCTATCGGAGTCTACCGGTGGTTCACGGCGCATTGGCGAACCCATTGATGGTTGTGAAAGACATTGCGGGGGGCCTCCGAAAATCGTAATGCAGAGGTGGGGGGGGGGGAAGAGTTGATTAAGCGGGAGGTATACGGTTGCGACCAGGTTACCATTTTTATATGGGGACCCATACAGCGCTCTAAGTGGCTCTCGTGTTGAGCGTGCAGTGCCGTGCTCGAGTGGAGTAGTTCTCCAGCTGTTGTTAAAATCCTAGCTGTTTTTTTTTTTTGGCAGGGTAGCCTTGGGAGTCATCACATGGAACGTGTCTGTGATTCTCCAATTCTAGTATGCGAGGAACTAGTGTCGGGTTAGGATTTTTGGCTTGACACCCTTAGCTCTAGAGGCGGAAGGGGGTGCATAATTTACCGCGTTGATCACTCACCAGTATTAATACCATTATTATATTATACAGTTATAGAGGGTTTGGGTTTTATTTCAGAGACTTGAGGTGCCTCTCCTGGCGGTGTATGATACTCAGAACTTTACCATCACGTGAAAGAATTGTTCTCCTTGAGTACAGTAAAGTCACAGTTGTTCTAGTTATTCATTCTTCAATAGACGCGCTTCTTGTTATCAGGGTCTTCTACCAAAGTGCTACTAATAAGAGTAATCTATGGCGGTATCTGGTTTTCTCCTGATTTGAACTTGTAGTAACTTTGAAGTACTCACAATGCAGAGTCAAAGGCGAATACTAGTATAGAATCAATTGCATGAGACTACTCTGGTGTCTCCCTTTATACTGTCATCTAGTACTGGTTGTGATGTCAATTGAAAAGCATGATGATCAATGTTAATAGCTGTGTCTCCTCCGATTCCACTGTTACTTCATATTTGATAAAAGCAAATATGGCACTATGAGTTCATTTTATTTGTTTTTTCCTTTCTTAACATACTCAATTTCAATGTTTCCATAAGTATATTATTAAGCAGATATTTCTATTTTTATATTATACAATACAAGATGTTTATTCAATACTACAAAATTACACATTTTTTTTGAAATCTAATTATATAATTGATACACAGGATCAGGGACATATTCTCCAACTAAACTATCCTTGTACTCCTTGCTATCCCTATCCCTGATGCAACCTGAAGCTTTAGTTCTTCATTTTCTTCCTCTAATTCCCTTAATTGCGGATCTATAGTACCAATAAGAGTAGCTGTTAGCTCCAATGGCAATAATGCTTGCAGTTATGTGAAACTATCTCCATAGAATATACTATTAATTCAAAAAAAAAAAAAAAAAGTATTCATGACTATTTAAATTCAATATATTATGTAAAAGAAAAATGGAAAAAACTTTCTGTGTCACACTTACTTCCACCCACCATGAGCAGTAGTGAAATAGGGAGAGAGCCGGTTATTAGAGGTCACTGATTTACTGTCATTGATTTCTTGACAATAACTCATATTAACTAGGATTGGATATTTGGTGATAGGAATACAATGATTTTAATATGATGCTGTACAACACCATTTAGTGTATCATGTATCTTCAACCAAAACATAATCATTTATACCAGCACTGTGTTCAGGGTGAAGCGGCTTGTTGCCTCTTGCAATAGTACAATTGTCACTGAGCTCAGCCTGGCTAAACCCCACTAATTGGGTGGTGTTGGACTGTGCTCTCTGAGTCCGTGTGGGGGTTACCTGTGAGGGTGATTATTTTTTCCCTTAAATGGCTGGGATTGATGTGGGAACAAAAATCCACAACTTGGGCAGCTAATTACTTTTATTGTTCAAAGTCTGTTGATCAAGCACTTGTTCGGGGTTTGCGTTGCAACGACCGCAATCTGTTGAAGACATTCCCTAGACCAATACCGGCCCTAATTAATTATTTATACTTTCAAATTAATTGGAAAAAGTTCCCGGTGGGGATATGAGGCGGTATCTATTGCTATGCAAGGGTGTGGAGACTTTCCGGACACGCCTGTACTGTACCATTTTTAATACAGACTGGAACATCTTGACATCTCAAGGGATAGCGGGTATCATAGAGAATAGACGAAGTAGTCCGTGGCCAGCTTCTGGTATTGTGCCCTCTACCACAACCAACAAGTACAAATTTCATGTCTAATAGCAGGGAAGAAGAAAGAAAAACCAAGAATGAAAAAATTTGGCATTTCTCCAAATGACCCAGATCAAGTAACGGGTCCACAAACTGGAGAGCACAACAAACCAATCAATCAAAACCAACATTTCCCAGATACCATCTACCTATTATTTATCCCAGCTTTCCTCCAATACCTCAATCCAGCAATCTAATTTGCTATTCTAACTTTGCGATACTAGACCACACTCTCAAGAATTACTGAATGTTGAAGTAAAATACCCCTCCATGCCTCCCGCGAGCACCGGAGTGGACGTGGCCATGTCGGCCACATATTTCTGCTTCTCAGCAATGCCGAGAATGTGCAGTTTCCCGGATAGAGATGCACCACTGCTGTCTGAAAGAGATATCTGACGCTGCCTGTTATCCACCCATACCCTGTATTCCATTCACAAATTTTTTTGGCATTTTCTCTTCAAAGACCTGCATACTCTGCTCCAACGACTGCGCCACCCTGGGGACCCCCCATGGCCAGTACCGTTTTCCGTGCGAGCCCCTGGTATAAAATCTCGATTGTCGCAGGTCATGGATGACGTCTATCCAGATCCCGTGTTCCCAACGGGCCGGGCCGCGCGTAGGCCGGCATATAGGCTGTCGGCCGGGTCAAGGCAGGCTACTCCCAGGAATGGCCTAGCCAATATAGGCCGAATGCCATTAGCCTAAGGAAGCCTATCAGGCCTGGTAGGCGTCTCTATGCAGGACCCCCGTCATTAAAAAACTGTTGTCATGGAAGCCATGGTGTCAAATTTAGAAAAACTTTCCAAACACTTAGCATTTGGTTTCTTTCATTTTTGGTTGTTTTTTTCTTCCTGCTGGGGAGCTCGTAAGAGGTTTAGATTTGGTTCACTCATGAGAGTCTGCGTGGCTACCGGTGATTTTCAAGGGTTTTTAACTTGTCCTTTGGACTAGAAATAAATCACCCGGAACAGGTGCTACTACCGGACCGAGTGGTAATGCATAGTCTAGAGAGAATTAGCTAGGCAGTTGAAAGCTTAGGAGAACGCAAGTCAAGTTGAAGAGAAGTTAAAAACAAAAGGGAAGCAAACATTTGCTAAGCGAGCTCCAAAAGG